ACTCGAGGCCTGGCTACATTTTCCAGGGGCATCCCCACCCTTCCCTTCAAGGCTGCATTAGGAGCTGACAACTTCTACTTGAGCCTCAGCCTTGCAGGTAAATGAAGGCAAACCCATTCTCTCTTCACATGGCAAATAGGAAAACACCTCCCTAGATACCTGTTACATAACTTGGAGAAAGCTGTTAACTCCTCATGAATGACCCTAGGGCTTCACCTTCACAGGAACCTCCGGGATGCCCAAGGCAGAGATGTGCAGGGTCAGGATGGACCGAGAGGATGCTGCTGGAATTAAGCATCTTGGACTGACCTCTGCTTGATCTCTCCTCTCCCCACCCTAGTCTTGCTCTTCCGCATATCCCCCCACCCTCAATCTTCCACGTACCATCCTCACTCTTCACCCTCTTTCCTTCTCGCCCCCTCTGTCCCATCCCTATCTCTCTTCCCCACCTATCTTGTTCAATAAAATCCCCATTGTTCACTTCCATAAATGGTCTCGTTGGCACTTTAATTCGCGCACAGAAATCTCTCCCTAATCCCATCTCAACAGGGCCATACATCTACACACAGCACTCGAGGTCTGGCCTCCCCATTGCCCGACACAGAGTGACAGTCACGCTGTGGCCTGCTCCTGGTGGCCACATTAGTGCTGACACAGAAGCCCAGGATGCCACTCTCCTCGTCCCCAATTTGGGCAAACACCGGCTCACATTTGGCTACTCTCAGCCAGCACCCCAAGGCCTTTCTTGCCGGGCACATTCCCAGCCACTCTGCCCCCAGCCTGGGCCACAGCAGGGGCTTCTTGGGACACAAGGGCAGCACCAAGGCCTTGCTCTTCTTGAACCTCACCCCGCTGGCCTCACACCACCCAGCCAGCCTTGCTACATCTGCCTCCAGAGCCGTCCTCATCTCCAGAAAATCAACACTCCCACCCACATTGGTGTCATCACGAAGTTATTACTGAGGGTACCCTGCATGCCCTTGCCCACACCCGCAGGACACACACTGAACAGGACTGGGCCCAGGGGACACAGCTCGTGACCACACACCGCTGGATGCGGCACCATTCCTCACCACTCTCTGCATGTGGCCATCCTGACAGTCCTTAACCCAGCAAAGAGCGCCCCTGCCCAAGCCCTGGCCTGATGGCTTTTCCAGGACTGTGCTGTGGGAGATGGAGTCAAAGGCTTTGCCCAAATCCAGGGAGATTCCATGCCCTGCTTGCCCCTCAGGACTGGGGCGGGCCACCCACAGCCCAAGGGTCATCAGGTTGCTCAGGCAGGACCTGCCTTTCCTAAACCCACACTCACTGAGGGACACGGATCCCTCAGCTGTCCTCTCTGGGCCCTGTCATCCCCCTCACCATCATCTGCTCCAGAACCTTGCTGGGCCCTGAGACCAGCCTGACAGGCCTGCAGCTCCCCACATCCTCCCTGGGGCCTTCTTAGGCATGGCTGTCACACTGCCACCTCCACTCATCTGGGACCTCCCCTACTGGCCAGGTCTGATGACATTGAAGGATGGGACAGAGGCTTAGCCAGCTCTTCCATGGGCTCCCGCAGCCTCCCTGAGGGACTCTGGGCCAGACCCCCAGACTTGGCAGCACCCAAGTGGCTGCACAGGTCACTGACGATTTCCTCCAGGATTGCAGGGGGTCTGTTCTGCTCCCTGTCCCTGTGTGCCAGCTCAGGGCACTGCTTGTCCTAGGAATAACCCATCTGCCTGTTGAAGGCCCAGGCAAAGAATGCATTCCGTACCTCAGGCTTTTACTCATCCCTTGTGATCACATTCCCCTCATCCCCACATTGATTTCAGAAGGGCAATTTTCCTTGGTGCTCCTGTGTTCCTAAACTTTTCGAAAATGACTCTTTATTTTCTTTTAAAAAAGTGACCAGATGAAAATCAAAGATGTTTTGGGCAATGCAATGATATTGCTGC